TACTGCTTCAAGATCCTTTCAGTCCAAGTAGGAACACAGTTGACGAATCAACTGAAGTTGGTACCAGGCACTCCTGGCCATCTCATCTACTTGAAATGACAGCTGTAAAGATGAGTCCAGGAGTACTACCAAACTGCAAACTTTGTCCTTTAGGGAAAGTGTGACCCCGTCCAGGACTGGTTGGCAAAACTCCATCCCTGGACTTGGGGTACCTATCTCAAGTACCTCTGTTTTCTCTGGATTCAGCTTGAGTTTGTTTTCCCTCATCCAGCCCATTACTGACCCAAGTCATTCATCCAGAGGAGAAATGCCATCCTTAGTCACTGCAACATTTGGAGACATAGAGAAATAGATTTGGGTATCATCAGCATACTGATAGCACCGTGCCCCATGTCTCACCCAATGGCTTCATGTATATGTTAAACAGCATGGGGGATAGAATGACACCCTGTGGGATGCCAGATGTTAGCTCTCTTTTAGAAGAGCAGCTATCTCTCAGAATCACCATCTGGAATCTGCCCAAGAGGTAGGACCAGAGCCATTGAAGCGCAGTGCCCCCAATACCGAACTCCCTCAGGTGTTCCAGAAGGATACCATAGTCTATGGTATACAATGCTGCTGAGATGTCCAAGAGCACCAACAGGGTCACACTTCACCTGTTGATGTCCAGATGGAGATCATCGACTAAGGCAGCCATGGCAGATTCAACTCCTTATCCCACCCTGAAGCCAGTTTGCAATGGGTCTAGATAATCGGCTTCTTCCAAGACAGCTTGGAGTTGGAAGGCAACTGCCCTCTCAATTACTTTGCCCAAGAATGGTAAAAGGGAGAACGGCCTGTAATTATTTTTCACCAGGGGGTCAAGGGAGGGGTTTTTCAAAAGTGGTTTAACCACCGTTAGCTTTAAATTAGATGGAAATTTTCTCTCCCGAAAAGATGCATTGATTATAAATTATAATAATGTTACAATAATCTACCGTCATCTTTATAGTCACTGCCTTAGAATAAGTCTTCCTGATTGTGATGAAGAGTGCTCTAGTCTAGGGAAGCTTATGCTTTAAGGTGTCACATCAGAAGAATTCACTTGGTTGTTTTTCTGGTTGATTTTTTTTCCTGTGCAGTGATCATTAAAATATATTCATTAATCAATTGGATCCTAGTTATCTAGTGCTTTCAGTACTTTTATGGAAGTTACTCCCCTAACAGTATTATTTAAATAGATGTTCCATCTTAAACATAACTTGGAAGTAACTAATTACAAACAATTTATTAATTGTAATTAATCTCCTCCCTTAGCTAAGGAAAAGCTGAGGAACATTATACCATGGAATAATTTAACTGTTTTATGGTAGAACTGTTCTTATTCATTCTGTAGTTACAGGTTTATGTGACCTCACTACTAAGCTGTGTTTTGTACCATGGTTCACAAGCTTGTATCATTCTGATACACTTTTTAAAGACACACTACAAATAACTATTACAGTTACTTTTCAATAGTGATAAAATCGCTACTTTTAAAAATGCAGCTGTATTGGCAGCTGACTATTTTGGGGAAACTTTAAAACTATACTTAATTATTTTGTTTGAAAGCAATCTCCAAAACTCTGCTGTTACGTAACTCCAGAACTGGCTCATGATCAAAAGCAGAACACACAGGTCAGACAATATCTGACTTTGATACTGGATTCAGCTAAAGGTGCTAGTGTGTTAATGCTATCTTCTAGCTTTATATTGTTATTTTATTCAGTGTCTATTTAGTAGATTGTATGTCATTGCAAGTGTCAAAAAGACTGGCAAAGGGCCTAATAAAATAATTATCACTAACTACCACTACTGGTAACATTAATTGATTAATTAATTAGTTGTGCAGCTAGACATACCATGTTTGCTTCCTCTGTTGTGTGATACTGCAAAGAATCCAAAAGATCCTTTTTAGCTGCCAGAGCTAAAAGCCATTGACACCCATTGAAGGAAGACTTGAGAGAGCCCTTCACATTTCTTGATTTGGCTCTAAACAACTACTGTAATTCATCTATAGTTTGGAAACCTTCCAGGTCTCTTTCTGCTTGTCCTCCTCAATTCCTTTCTTTTCTTTTTCGATGGGCATCCTTTAAAATTGGCTGGTCAATTTGGCTATTATTTCTCCTGTCTTCACAGCTCCTTTTAAACAATGTGTAATACAACACACACAAGCTGAATGGTTTATTTATACACCTATGAAACATGCTATGGCAGGATTAAGCTGGATCCCTAAAGAGCCATTAACTTGTATTATTGTGAAGTACTTATTACTGTGGCATATGTAATGGATAATATTTGTTTACGTTTTTAATTACTCACATTTTCAGCCAAGAAAATCTCGGAGGATAATGCCTCATTTACAGGAGTGTCCTGGCAAAAGACAACATAATGTAATCACACATTACTAATGATTCCATGACAACCAGGAAATGGTTTAAATATGAATTTCAAATAAAGACTTAATTATAGTATGCTATAAAAACAAAATTAAATAGATGAGAGTAGAACACAGCTTTCTGCAAATTAAGGAAGCATTTTCCTTTTCCTTGAAAGCTGGGATGGATCAAATGCTTCTTGTAAAATTAGGAGGGGGGAGGTCTTGTTAATGGAAAGAAAAAGTTTGATAATACCTTGATTTGAACCTCTACAATATGGCATGCTCTGAGATGGAGCTAAAATAAAACCTAATTCTACCAGTAAAATTATTCTTGACATGTCTAGACATGCCAACCAATTAATTACTGCACTGCATACATGTCTACTTCAGAAGTAAGTCCCACTATGTTTAACACCCAAGGAAGCTAGTGTAGGATGACAATCAAAATATTCTTAATTAACAATTTTAGGCCATACAGGCCTTTGCCTGTACGGGGGAAAATTACTCTGAAGCACAGAACAACTCTGAAGATGCTCCTCCAATTACAATTATGGCTTCTTGCCATTAATGACAGTTTTGAATTGGCTGATCATATATTTGCAGCACAAAAGTAACCATGGCCAGGATTCACTCAGGCAGATATGAATGTGTAACCACAGTAATTACGTAGCTACATATCTCAGGAGTGCTTTGATTGTGTCTTTCTGCATGGTAGTGAGTTGGGCTGGATGGCCTTTGTGCTTTCTTCCAACTTTATGATTCTATGACTGTCTTATATTCACACTTCCTACATATTCCCCAGTATAGGGGATAAGGAGCATGAAAGTCCTCCAATCCCTACTTACCAGACAACAGCCTCTGTGATCGATGGGGGTTCATTTCCTTGTCACTTGGGGAGCAGCTGACTGAAGTTCCCACTCTCTCCCATGAGAGATCTCATTTGTGACAGCAGAAGCAGGGTCCCTGTCACAGAGGATGGTTGTGTGTTGGGGTGGTGGAGGAGATGTCAGTCTACTTCTTCCAAGTCAACAGGGGGAACAGGCTCCTGTTAATCATAATGGCTGCTGCCTGGTAGGTCAGGATTGGGTAACTTTTATGATTCCTACACTGAATACATCGGGATTGTGAATATGAAAGAGTCCTGAATGTGTAACTCTAGGTTATACATTCGTAACTGCCCAAATGAATTCTGGCCATATTCTTACAATTTTCCCAAGATAACCCTATCCTATTTTTGTACTGTATGTTTATTGTTTATAGTGTATGATGGAATTGTTCATAGCAGAAGCAAGAGCTGTATAGGTCTGTGAAGATGGTGCTGGTTTGGGTAATTAACAATGTTGCTCTTGACAAGGCCAGGGCAGCGATGGGGAACCTTTGGCTTTGTAGATTTAGGATTACAATTTCCACCATTTATATGAACATTGGCCAGCTAATTGAGGCTTCTGGGAGCTAAGTCCAAAACTTCTGGATGGCAAATTATTTCCCACCCTAAGTCTAGGAATATATGGTAATGTGCCCCGATTCTCCTCCAAACATAGATTATCAACTGAAATAAATAAGCCTCGGGTCACTGTCTACCTGTTCATCGTCTATGTCCCTTTTTAACATGTCCTGCCAGCCTGAATAAGAAGAACTAACCAAATGCCATATGACGAAAAATTATAAATGGGAGAAGAAAATGACAAACAAGTTAATGATAAGTAATAGGTTTGTCAGATGTTGATAGATCCACTTTCTTAAAATGGTGTGTGATCTACAGACCTTTCTAGTTTAGTACCTCCAATCCAGGGAAGAGAAAATCTGGCAGTTTTGCTTCAACTTTTAAACTTCAAGTTCCTTTCTAGTTCCTAAATATAAAGCCATTTGTTGATTTTGGTGAATTCTTATTAGGTGAATTCTTATTAGAAGTGCAGAAATAAAATTTCTGCCCATTCCTACTCCAACACAGCTATCGCATTTTAGACTCTGATATAGGGGCAGTTGTGTTCTAGCATAGTGTTTGCATATTTATTTATTCCTTTATTTACTGTTTATGTACAGAAACTGTATGTCACACAACAATTAACAAGTCATGAACATCACTCTTAAAATAAAGTGTGTTGAACAACCAGAAAATGGGTTACTCATGGTATTCAAATCTGTGTACTTTCCTCCATGGAAAATTAAACTTCTAAAACAGGAGTGAGGAAATTGCAGCCCAGAGGCTACATGCAGCTCGGAACTCATTCTCTTGAAGCCTCCTACCAGCCCCACAATTTTTTTTAAATTAAAATTTTGGGAAATATTTGCTCCCAAACTATACAGAAAACATGCACAAATACTGCTAGACAACCCCTTAAAGCACCTCCAAATCCCATATTACTGCCGAACACCTCTGTTTTCCTACGCAGTTCCTCTCATAATGGCAATAGGAGGTGATACAATGTTGCTACCTGTTGCCATTTGAGACAAACTGCCCAGGAAAATGGAGGTATTTGGGCTTACTCTGGGGATTGCAGCCCATGGGGAGACTGGAGGTAAAATTGCCCCCTGGTCTCTATATAGAATGTTAAAATCAGTGTTTAGAAATTAAAGGACTGGGTATTGCAGATTGGAAAGAGCCAGTGTAGTGTAGTGGTTTGAGTGTTGAACTATGATTCTGGAGACTAGGGCTCGAATCCCTGCTCAGCCATGGAAATCCATTGCGTGACCTTGGCTTAGTCACACACTCTCAGCCCCAGAAAATCCAGTGATAGGTTCACCTTAAGGTCATCATAAGCCAGAAACAACTTGAAGGCAAACAACAACAACAACAACAACAACAACTGCAGGTTGGCTGGATTGGCTGAGGTGCGAAGCTGTGTTCAAAAAGAAAGGAATCACTAGTTGATTCTTCTGGATTTCCCCGGGAATCTTTTCCATCCCTTCCTTCTCTTGTTGTGGCTAGTACCACTTTACATTAGCCTCAAATTTATAGGGCTGTCAAAGGGAACATTGGTAGCAATGGATGCTGCTACCTCCCTCTTACTACTATGTAAGAGTTAGCATCATGGGGAGATGCAATTCCTACAGATTTGTTTGAGTGTTGTTAATATTCTATGCCACTTTTCCACAGAGGTCAAAAAGGCAGTGTACAACAAATGATTGATTTTATCAGCCAATGGTTCTCCAGAGTAGATCATAAGCTGATTATGCCATTAGGCTGGAAATGATCTCACAGAATAGCCTATAAAGCTGTGCCATTAGTCCTCCGTTCCTGTGGTGTCCCATTGAACTGCTAGATACAAAGCCTCATTTATTTCAGGGCAGGCCACCATTATTTTTTCTCCACCAGCCATCCACATTCCTTTTCTCCACAAGGCTTCCAGACATTGCTATACTCCAGCTTTTCATGAAAATAGCCTGAACTATAAGTGGCTCAAGGGCTGAGCTAGGGTGTGTGTGTGTATGTGTGCTTCTCCCACAATTTAGGGGAAAAGCACCCCTCCTGCTTATCTATACACCACCAATGGCCTCAGCAACCTGGAGCCTGAGGAAAATGCTTTTATCTATACTGGTAGAGGAGGTATAGGAAGGCCTTCAGACATGGATGACCTGGCCACAATCAGTATAGTAATAGCTCAGTTATGCAGTAATACAGTAGAGGTAAAGAGAATATTTCTTACTTTTAATGTATGGCTGCATCTGCACAGTAAAAATAATTCAGTTTGACACTGTTTTAATTGCCATAGCTCAATGCTATGGAATTCTGAGATTTGTAGTTTTGTGAGATATTTAGCCTTCTCTGTCAGAGTGTGATGGTGCCACAACAAATTCCAAATCCCAGGATTCCATAGAATGGAGCCACAGCAGATAAAGCAATATCAAACCACATTTATTTATGTGGTGCAGGTGCAGCCCAAGATTCTATGTAGCATTTTAGGTTTCTCTGGGACTAATCCTTCAGTCCTGCTTGTCCTCCTCAATTCCTGGGAACATGTGACTTGCCGAAGGTCATCCAGTGGGTTTCCTGGCCAAGCAGGGAATCAAATCCTGGTCTCCAGAGTTGTAGTCCAATGCTCCAACCACTACACCACACTGGCTCAATGGCGCCATATATATGTTCTATAAACATAACATTAAAGTTTCACTCTGGAGCCATGTTAAATGGCCTGAGGTGAAAGAACTGCAACCCTTTCACTGAGACCACATCAGCTAGGATACTCCATGTCTCTCCTAGAGTATTCTGACCCTAGAGCTGCCTTGGATTCCCCCTTTACTTCCATACTCTGTAGCAAGATCAGGCTGCTGTTTACAAATGTGTCCTGCTGTGCCTCATGGTACCAGTGCCACCAACACAAGTTGCTCCATTGGAGGTCAGAAATGAGGCACCCAGCATCCATCACATGGCAGGGCTTCTCATTGTGACCTCAGAGGGAGCATCTTGTGGCAGTAGCACAGGCAACACAGTGGGAAACAAGTGTAGACAGCTGTCTGGCATCGCTACAGCCTGTGCCACATTTTCCTGCAAAATCCAGAGCAGAATTTGAGCTTTTAAAAACTGTATTAAGGCAGGGACAGGGTAGATTCAGTGTGGAACTGGCTTCATGTAAAGAAGGAGATCCACACTCAAGTTGGGGATTTGGCCCTGCATCGTGTAGACAGGTCACTGTGAGAGTAGGAGGAAACTGGTTTAATTGGCCTGTGTAGACAAACCCATATAGTTGCTATCCACCCAAGAAAATGCTTCTGACCTAGAGGAGCCCATAGTCTGACTGCATAAGCAAGTTTCTTCTTTTAATAGATATCTGGCATACTTGATGAAAGGAGTCAAAATCTTTTAACAAATATATATTTGATGAATGGTATATGAAACAGTGTGCTAGAAAATGAGCTTTGGGTATCTGTGTATATACCCCTCAAGGTAGGATCTTTCTAAAGGAGTGTGTTTTAGGAGATCTTTTTTTAAAAAATCTATGTAATATGATTGTCTCTGGAAATTCTGTCACTCAGTAGTGCTTCCAGACACATTCATGGTGGTCAGCTTTGATCATAAAAATGCAAGAGATTGAAAGGGGGTTGCTATTAGCATAAAAAACAAAGCTAGTCTTGTCAGAAATTCCCAAATATGCATTTTGACTCAAGTTACAACTAACTGCTGCACAAAGACTCCTGTGTCACTTGATATTCATTCTGAATATGGTTCAACCTCTAGGAATTTCCCATTGGTATTTACTAACTAGAATTGAACTCAAAATGGCAACAGGGGAGAAAAAGGTAGTCACTGAAATTACATTTAAGCTGATGTCTAAGCTCCAATGCTTAGTGTGATGCTGGAAAAAAGAGCAAAAGAGAAAATGATATATGAGGCAACACACACACACACAGAGAGAGCTATCATATGTGCCATCAAGTCACCTGACTACTTATGTTGACCCCATGAATTTCATATGCAGAGTGCTTTCCCCAGTTCCTTCCTCTGAAACATAGCCTACAGCACTTGGTATTTATTGGTGGTCTTCCATCCAAGTACTAACTAGAGCTGATGCTGCTTAGTTTCCAAGATAGACAGGATCTGGTGCCTTTAGAGTATTTATGCAAACATGTAGAATGTAGAAACACACACAAAAAAAAATCTCTAAAATGATTACATAAATGCCACACTAACTTTTGTTATTGGAATATACAGATTTCATTTGTGTCTTTGTCTCTCTAAACATATTATTAAAGGGAAATCAATATATTCCACAGATATAGTGAGTTACTGCAGTACACTGTACATGGAACTGCCATTAAAGACAGTCTGATAATTAGTTCAGAATATACCAAGATTGGTCACTGGGACTAGAAAGTGTGGCCATAAAATTTTGCCAACTTTATAGCTTCCAGTCCATCTCTGGCTACAATCCAAAGTCTTGGCTTTGGTGTTTAAAATCCTTCATGGTAGAGGATCAGAGTACCCAAAGGACTGTCTCTATATGCACTGAATATCTTCTTAGAAGCTCTTCTTCAGATCCCCCCAAATCAAGTGCTATTGGTATCTATTGGGGAAAGCATTTTTTCACTGGTGACAATTCAGGTGCTTAGTTGTCCTTTCAGAATAATAATAATAAATAATAATAAATTTTATTTTTATCCCGCCCCTCTGCATAGCAATCGGGGCGGCTCACAGCAGTTAAAATACAATGAATAAAATACATTCAAGTATCCCGATCCCTCCACCCATCCCTCCCCCCCCTTAAGACAGAATTAAACTAGAAGAAATTTAAAACAGAAATCTATAAAAAAGAGAATTATAAAATAATGGTGGCGGGGCAACAGAGAGCATGGGGAGGAGGTTCAATATTCATTCCTCAAGGAAGGTCAATCTGGGAAAGCCTGCCGGAAGAGATCCGTCTTAACTGCTTTCTTGAAAGCCGTGAGTGTTGTGATGAGACCTGTTTATTTCCTAGATCAAATGAAGACCTGTTTATTTCCTAGATTTTAATCCATTATATAGCTGCTTTTATCTCTTTTACTGTTGACCAGTTTTACTGTATGCCTTTTAATATTTCTTTTGTTCTTCCAAGGTACTCTAAGAATTTGGTTATAGGGTGGCATTGAAATTCTTTTTTAAATCTTTTAAAATTAATTTTTTAAAATCACCACCACAACAAAACATACAAAACACTCAAAATTAAAGGAAAAATCAATTACAGACATAACATAACCATACACATATACACACATATTTTAAAAACACTCCAACTTACCTAGCTCTAACTAAGCTAAATTACCCCCAGCCCTCCTAATCTCCCCAGTTCCTCCCATATAAAAACTATACACTAAACACATTAAAAATTCTTAAAATAAATAAATAAATGTTGACTGTTAGTGGTAAAATTAGATAGGTAGTTTCAATGAGGGATGATGGGAAGGAAATGAGGAGGTTAGAAAAATATTTAGATCACATTTAGGAGAAGTGGGAAGTCTTTATTAAGAGGGGAGCAGAATGGTGGAAATTTGTGATTATTGATGCATGTTTATGTTTGTGTATTCATGTATTTTTTAGAATTTTGAATAAAAACAAGATGTTGTCTTACCAATTGAGCCAACAGAAAGCAAAAAAAGAATAATGCATCAATTAAGGAACATGGGTAATATGATAACAGATCAAGCAAATCTTGTAAAGATTATTAGGAAGTATTATAGTGACCTGTATAAAAAAGACGTCACGGGTATGGAGGAAATGGAACTATATTTGGGTAATTGTGACATTAAAACTTTCACAGATGAACAAAGAAAAAGCTTAAATAAAAAGATAACTTCTCAGGAAACATTAGATTCAATTCAAAATGTAAAGCTGGTAAATCTGCAGGACCAGATGGCTTTCCTGCCAAATATTATAAAGTCTTCAAGGACCAGTTGATAATACCTCTGGTCAGCATTATGAATAGTGTAGGGCAAAATGAGGTGCCAAATACTTGGAGAGAAGCAAACATTAGTCTAATACTGAAAGAAGGCATGGAAAGAACGGAGGTAAAAATTATCATCCCATTTCTTTGTTGAATAAAATATTTGCTATGATCATAGCTGACCGATTAAAAAAAGTGTTGTCCGAATGGATCTCCCCAGACCAAAACGGCTTTTTGCCAGGTTGGAGCATCAAAGAAAATGTAAGGCATTTACTAAATGTGATAGAGTATAACGAGAAGGATATTAATTGAAAGCTTG